CGATATCGTAGCGCAGAGGGATTGCGATATTGCATTGGTAGCGCCATCTAATTCCGTGGATATAGATATCCCCGTTTGTGATATTGATCCACAACAAGAGAATTTTGGTATTGACTCCACCAGCGTGGAAGAGGCAAGGATTTATCTTGCGAGACTTAAACTTGCTAATGCTCCACCAAATGAGCAGAAACAAGGTGAAATCTATTTGACAAAATTGGAAAGACAAGTAGATGAAAATGAGAATGGTAGTACCCTTTATCTTCAAACATTACGGAATTCAACAATTCATTTTGGGTCAAAACTAGACCGCGTTGTTAATTATTTACATATTGATGAAGATAACCAAAACCCTACTTCATCTATAGATTTTGGGAACAATGCTTTAAATCAATTATATGCGTTGATAAGAAGTGATATAAGACGACTTGAAGATAGAATGGATCGGAGGCTCGATAGAATGGATCGGAGGCTCGATAGAATGGATGGGAGGCTCGATAGAACGGATCGTCTCACAGATAGCCAGAGAGGGATGGTTAAAAATGGTTTGTTAGCTGCAGGTGGTAGTGAGGACTCTGGAAACTCATATAAGCCTATTTGCAACGATAACGGAGAGTATCCCGGAGAAACTAGCTACCTTCAAGAAATAATATCTCTAGACCAAATAAATTCAATGACTAGCAGTACCTTGGATTTGTATTTAAATTTTTATAACCTAGGAAGGAGTCGATTAATCGCAGAAAAGAAAGGTAAACTTATTAGATTTTTGGGAATCAACGAAAAGGTTATGATAACACAGAAAACAATCCATGGTGCTACACCTACTTGAACTTCGATTATATTTGAATGAGCTTGAACAATCCTGTCAATTGATAAACGTGCAGCAATTATTTTATGTGGCTATGACTCCTAAAAAGAAAAATCCATCTACCACTTATGGCTCAAAGCCGTGAGCTTACGGAACGAATACAGACTTAGTATCCTAAGATACTAAAAGCGATTTTACTTGCAAATTTCTATTTT